TCCTCCCCCCCCCCCCTCCCCCCCCTCCAAAAAAAAACAGGTACATAGCTCAGGGTAAGCTGGAGAACGCGCGGTCGATGGCGCGACGTGTCCTCACCCTTACCCTGGCGTGCAGCGGCTTCCTGGCGACGTCGCTCCTGTGCCTGAGCGGGGTGATCCCTCGCTGCTTCACCTCCGACCCGGAGGTGCTTAAGAGGCTGCACCAGCTGCTGCCCCTCCTGGCCGTCCAACAGCCGCTGGTCGCCCTCACGCTCGTGGCAGAGGGCCTCCTAGTAGGAGCCGGGCAGGTGAGAACTTAATTGTTGTGGTGAGTTATATTGTTGTGTTTTTTTGCTCGGTGTGTGGCCTTGTTTGTGTTTTTCTTCGTTTGATTGTGTTTTTCGCTTGGTGTGTGGCCTTGTTTGTGTTTTTCTTCGTTTGGTTGTCTTTTTTGCTTGGCGTGTGGCCTTTTTGGTGTTTTTATTCGTTTGGTTGTTGCATCCTGCGCTCTTTTACTTGTTGCCTCGTGCGTTTTCACCCATTTTGTTTGAGAATTTTCTCTCATTGTCCGGTTGGCTGATGAAAATGAAGAGTGAAATAGACCTCAACCCTGGCATGACGTTCCGCCGAAAAATCTGTTATTCTTAGGTTATCCTTTTGGTTTGGTCTTGCACCAAAAGCGTTTGTTTTCCCCGTGTGTGTTGCTCTCGTGTGTGATGTTTTTCTTCGGTTTTGTTCGATCTCCCATTAATTGTGCGAAACCAAACACCAGAGGCTGTTTGGCGGAGTGCACACGCCCCACAATGTTTGAAGGGGAAAGCACCTATGCGGGAGGATGTGTGTGTGGACAACCAAACTATGTTGTCTTCACCCGCCTTGCTCTTTGCTCTACTGAACATGGTCCGTTTATCGGTGTCGTTCGGGCGGGGATATCTTGGTGCCTGGCTTGTGGGAACTGGCGACGAATTAATGTGCTATTTTCAGGAAATATTCGTACGATCAAAGAACCCCCCGTTCGAGATACATGTACTGTAGTACCACAGTCGAAGGGGATGGGTTGCATTCTTCGTCTTGGCAGCGAGTGGCGGGAAAACGGCTGGAAACTGGTCTTATTGTGTTGCTTGCCTCGAGTCTTGCTGCACTGCTGTTCCATCCTCCACAAGCCCCCTTGTTGTGGGCTGAGGAGAGGGCCGTACTATCGCTTCGTGCTTTCCGCTCAAAAACATGTGCTGCTCAGCCATGCATTATTTTTTGCCAACCTGCACGGCGATGACAAGGTCGACGGTGGTAACAAAACCAAAACCGAACGGAACCGAACGTTTTCAACGGAAACATGACGCCTTGGGTGTCATCCCATCCACGGCGATGGCAATGTCGATGGCGGCACCGAACCAAAACCAAAACCAAAACCAAAACCAAAACCAAACCGATTAAACAAAAACCAAACAAACAAACGCAGTTCCGCTGGCTGGCAACCACCACGGTGGGGTCGAGCGCGGTGGCGGCGTGGTTCATCCTCATGGTGGGGAGACGGGTGCCCGTGTGGGACGTGCTCGGGATCTGGGGCGGCATCACCGCGATGTTCGTGGGGCGGTTCCTGGGGGCGGCGTGGAGGGTGATGGACCGCAAGCGGGGCCCTTTCTGGGTGGTGCCAGCATCGCCAACCTCGAAATCTGAGGCTTGAGAAACGAAAATTGACCCCCGACACATGTAAATATGTGGAGGATGTGTCTGTTGGTGTCATATTGGTGGTTATTTTTCTGCGTTGAATTTTGGCAGTTGTTTATTGGAATATTTTTTAGTCTTGCCTGTTGTCCTTTTCGAGGAGAGTTTGCAGAAGCAGAGGATGATGAAGCTTGGAGCCTTGGGTGTTGAGCATTTTTCGTCCGGACCGGACTTTGGTCCATTGAAGGGGGAGGTCGGAAAATTTCGTCTACGGCATTGTTGGTTTCCGACAAATATCAAAAAAGAAGGTGAACCCAGCCACCACGTGGCGCACCATTTTACTCGTACGTTTTGTCGTCTGTCGTGTGGTACGAAAGGAGTTTGATTCAAGGGCGATTGGCATCTAGCAATGGTGTCTACTGCTGTTGGTTTGATTGGCGCGGAGTTTGGCGTGCCGGCGGGAGTTGGGTGGGCATTGGCTGTCAAAGCGGGCGTTGCGGGCGGCACCAACTGTGGGTAACACACGACAAGCTGTAAACCTGATCGCTGCACCGATGCATGCTTCTGCTCGACCACGCGTATCGGGTGCAATTTACGGAGGAAGTGCTCCTGTGTTCAGCCCTGGTTGGTGTTGACTCTCGCTGGCAACAGACCACCAGTTGTACGAGCCACCGTTTTGAATCGAATTTTCGTCGAGAGGAGACGAGAAGGGATGAAACAAGTGTTTCCGGGGTATCGGCGGTTGGGAGTGGGGCGCCGTCGTTCCGTACCTGGTACGTAGTTTTTCGCACAAGAAATAGCGAACGCATCGCTCCTCCACTTCGTTGCCCTTGTCCCTTGGGGGGTTCGCGCTTTTGTGGAATGTGCTTGTTCCGGGTGTGGCGGCGCCCGTGCTCTGTCGTAGCGAAGACTTGTGTACGTTGTCTGTGTTACGCTACTGTAGGGTTAGGCCTTTACATCGAACCAAGTGCTCACACACGAGTGTCAAGCACCTCAGCGTTCTCGTTCCGCCTCGTTGTAGTGGTTGTTGTGTACCTGCCTGACTGACGCTGTTGCTTCAGGAGCTTTCAGCCTGCTGGCAGCGCTATTTTGCGAGCTGACGTCCGTCACAGGAAGTATACGATCCTTAGCTGAGATTGCGGCACGTTGGAAGAGGGTACACCAAAGGTTAAACGTTCACTACAATAAGGAAACACAACGCAACAAGACATACACTCTACCCCGTCGGCGTGCAACCGTCCTCATGGTGCCGGGGCTTGGCACGTTTAAATGCCTGCACCAGAGTAAAGAGTGCTATTTATGCTACCGCCCTCCAGGCGGTTGCTCCCGCGCGTGGGTCTGGACCGTCGTGATTCAACAGGCCTTCACGTGAGTTACTCGAAGTTTTCAGTCAGATGCGCCGCTATCATCGTGCCACAGCCACGCCGTACCAGGTGGCCTGTAGGGTGCAAATAATGGCAGGTACCGATGGGGATGGGACGACCACCGCAGTGTGAGTGTGGCAGGCTTGACGGGAGGCTGCTAAGGTGTTTTCTAGGTTGGCAACGAGAAGGAACGAAGGGGGGGTTGACGAAGTTTCAGATAAAACAACCCTGTCAGACTATAATAAATAGGTGCTTCCGTTTGCAGCACCGGTTCATGCCGCTTTGCAGCTACTGTAGAGCTATACCGTAGCTGCCGGTCGGTGCACACACACTCACATCGGCCGCGTTGGGCCCCACGCGCACAGCCTGGTGTTGTGCATTCTCGCAGGAATCGACGAGATGCAATCCGTCAGGCAGACCCGCCTGTTAGCATCAGATGCGAAGACGTTGTATGTATGTGTTGTTGTATCTATGCATCGGTGACCATCAACACAGCTGAGGGCCACACAGCAATGGTCCGCTCGTGTGATGGTGAGGGCGTAAAAACGGCCAAAAGACTCACGCGACCACAGTTACTTTACTATAGGTCGGAACAACACCTACCACTAAACAACTGTACGCGGAAAAATACTGTATCTGTGTGTATTCTACCGCAATGTGGGGGATATGCGTCAGTATGTATGTACTGTACTCTAATTGCCTACAAGAACACCAAGACGGAGGAGATAGACGTGGTTGGCCGGGGGCTTCAAGCAATTATTTTTGTAGTGTGCACGGTCTTGGTATTAAGTCACCCACCGTGCCGAGGGCGGTGCACGTATTGTAGTGGAACGGGGGTCATCTTCTGCAAGACAACGTACCAACGAGTAACGTACCAAATAAAATTTACGACCGGCATGCACAATTGACAGCAGTAGTCACATACATACCGGAGTAGTAATAAACAGACCCACGGCATCAAGGTTTAAATTAGACAAATATTATTATGAAAGCCACACCAACAACGAGGCAAGGAAAAAAACTCTTCTTGTCCAGGCTCACTCGCAGGAAATAATATTTCTGTTCCCACAGCACGCCGGTCGCGTACTCTTCCACGCCATCGCACCCAGAACCCCCGCACGTCGTCGAAACGAGAGCACCAGATAGCAGATCTTCCTCGCCCCGAACGACGTACTGTATGCCAGTTATTCCGCATCCTTCAGCGTACACGTGCAATGGTACGAACATCGAAAACATTTAGATGTGGGCGGATAGTACGCACCTCGATCGTTGTTTACAGGCAGGGCTCTATGTATAGAGTAGTCTACAATAGTGTTCCATCGAGTGGACTGGGGAAAAAAGTAGCGAGAGGATGTTTTCATTGCTTGCGTCGTGTGTCATGAGACATCGATAGGTGTTCATACCGTATGTACGTCCATAACAAAAAGTAAATGCAGACATGACGAAACAACGGAGCGGATACGGAACTCCACACGCCGCAGCCCGTCAAGCCACCTGCGTGAGAACTAACGAGGAAGCCTCTGTGGATGATGGTACGCCGTCATGCGCAAAATAGGTCGAACTGGGACCCACGAACCCTCATCAAGTTCACCTTTGCTCCCGGCATGGAAGGGCCTTCCCACTGCTGTCGGTGCCATCAATACGAGCGCACACAAACAGCTCAGCCATCCTGGAGCGCTCATGGATCTGGTCGAGCTAGATGAGCTCCTCTGATTGCTGATGGTGCTTGCCTGCAATCGATGTATCTTGAATCTTCATTGGTTGATGTGTACCACACCGTGCGAACAGACCAGATCTCCGCCTGTAACTGTCGGCATGAGAGTCGGCAATAAAAATAACAAACCAGATCTCCGACTATCGTACACATCTAGTTCTCTCCGTTCGGCGGTACGCGTTACGGTCATGCAAGGACGGGGCGATGCGATGCCTTCTTCGCCGCTCTGACCATGGGGGAGCGACGGAGCGACCCAACGTTTTGCGTGGGTTGTATAACCTGTAGGGGACCTCGAAATCGAGGGAGCAAACCTTGCAGCGAGGGTCGAAGAAGAGACGCGCGTTTCCCAAAACATGAAACTGCCGATAGCTTTTGTACCCAACGGCGGACTGCGGCAGCAGCAAGCTACATTTCTCTCCACCCCACTCGCAAAAACGGATGGAGCAATCTCGAGAGCATCGATAGAACAGAAAATAGCGTGGTTTCAGAGAAGAGACTGGAGATCGCCCAAGTCTAAAACCGAGTCATCTGGTGGAGAACTGGGGCAAATCTGGCGTCAAATCTTGTTGCTACTGCTGCTGTAGCCGGTTCTTGTTGTTTGCAATCAAACCCCCGACTTGTGAGGGGGCTTCAGAAAGGAACTAGTGTACAGGTCTATATGTGTTCTGGCCAGCACATCCATTCGCCGGAGTCCCGTCACGCTTTTTCCGGCCGGGCTATCCGTGGGCGTGTCGTTTCCCCCGCGTTTTGGGGGGCACGACAGACGGCACATCATCGATGGTGGTCAGGGGCACGAAGGGCCAGGAAGACAGCAACTGGCAAATACATGGCTGACCCAGATACTATCCGCCACGAAGAGTAGAGAGATGCATGTGTCAAAAGCGGATCTGGCGGGAAAGATAGCCTCTCGTGATCGTGTCCTTGGTGGCTCCGTCCATCCTCACAAGAGAGACACACGTGTAAAACGCAGTTGCAACATGAGTTGGCCTTTTGTTTTGAATGGAAGTGGACCCCGAATCAAAGTCCACCCAGCCGACCAACTCGAAAAAGAAAACAAAAAGACAGGAAAAGAGAAATGATTCGCAGGAAAAGGGTCCGAGAAAACGGGTTGCGAGAGACAACCGCTATGATGACACGCAGGGTGTGGTACCAACTGGAGCCGCGCGTGGTTGCAACGGATGCAGGCTTGCTCTCCTAGTCGTTCCTGGCTCATCCGCCGGCTCGCCTGCGCGCTATCTAAGAACCCCGCCCACACCCCAATCGATGACAACACGCCGGCACTCTCTCGACGTCAAAGGCACAAGATGATCATGCTGGTGCAGCGCTCCCAAGAAGAAGAGAGAGGGTGGTAAATCCCGCCGCTTCTCGTCGACGCCAAAGGAGGAATCGCCGAGCCAGCCGACTCAAACACGAGCCGAGCAGAGCACATCGCTGGGCCGCTCTCCTCTGCTCAAAAAGAAAAACTCTTCACGCCACCAGCACGATTTCCTCGATCGCACTCGTTTCGCGCCCGCTATTTCCCTCGCCACTCCCCCCCTCCCTCCACATGCTGCCCCCACTCTCTCCCTAGATATCGTGACTGCCGGGTTTAGTCCATGGTGAGCTCCATGATGGCGTTAACGATGTCTCCGTCGTTCTTCTTCAACGCGTTGACTGCCGCCGACCGTGTGCAAGATGCCTGCAGTAACGTGAGGGGGGGGGGTGCGCCGGTCGGAATACATCGAAAGCCAATGAAGTACTCATGTTGCGACAAGAAAGACGATGGCCTCACAGACCACAATGGTGTCCAGATACCACTTTTTCGCGCCGACAAATCTGAGCGGTTGTTACAACAGTTCGTTTTCACGCAAAGAATGGCACATACGCATACGCATACAAAACACCGCTTCTCATGAGTCCTGGGTACGAACCATGGAGGAAAACAACAACAAAAAAACTGCTCATTGCGCACGCATACGCTATACAACACGCGCTCATGATGCCCTCAACTTCTCTCATTGGGCGTGCCAACACAACGCTGGGCCAACAACTACAAACGAAAATTCGACAGCACCGTCAACACGAGCAAGGCAACACAAGGAACATCAAGCGTTGACACCGCGAATGCAGTGCTGGCAAGCACCAAGGACAAATAAATAACTTTTTCTCAAAACAAAACGAGGAAAATACTCTTGGAGGAACAACAGCGAGTAACGGCGCTGGCACAACTAGGTCAGAGCTTGATATCCCTGGGCGGCACCAGCGCTACCTTGACAGCCAATAACAACTCTCACAACCCAAGGGCTCACCAAACGTGCAAGCAATGCCACTCAACTTGCGACCGGAGTCGTACGAACCATACATGGGCACCGAGATAGTTGAAACACAAAACACAAGATTGTATACACACTGCTGTTCCTGCTGTAGCGTCGCATGCATGCACACCTGGCTCATGATGAGCTCGATGTCCTTAGGCTCAACCCCCGTCTCGTCCACCAACTCGTCCGTGTCCACATCCGCGCCCGTGTTTACGGCCGGGATGGCTGCTGCGGAAGCAGCCGCCGCCTGTTTCAACCATTGATTTCCGGGCCCCCCGAAAAAAGAAAACAAAATGAACACACGTACATGACAACACGAAGGGAGCAAACAAGAGGATGTGAGCAAATAGGAAGAGGGGGGGTGCTTCCGGACTCCGTCAGTGAGCTAAATAGGATACAAGACAAGGTAAACCGCCCAAAACCTAAAACACACAAAAACATGCGCGGGAAGAATCGAAAGGTAATTTGTCTGGAGCCAACCATGTAGTTGCAGGTTTTTCAAAGGGATTTGTCTGAAATTGGTCGCAAACGGTTTTCGAACAGCACCAGTACAACACCTGTCCGACAACCCAACCCGCTGCCGCACATCACTCTGTACCCAAACCTTGACCACCCCACAAAAACCCACAGCCGGCAGCAAACCACCAATCACCTCGGGCGCGCTGAACCGCTCCGCCGCCTGCTGCTGTGCCTGCGCCGAAAGGTCCTCGATCTTGGCCTCCCCGAAGATGACGTACGTGTTGGACGACGGGCTCTTGTGCACGTCGGGCTTGGAGATGACGAACAGGATGTTCTTGCTCTTCTTCACCGTCACGCGCATGATGGACGGGACCGCCTTCATGCCGAGCTTCTGCACGGCCTTTCGCGCCTTCTTCTCGTTGCGGTTCTGCTTGCCTCCCTTGGGCTGATTTTTGGCGTTTTCGTCCCGTTCGTTTTCGGCAGTTTCCCCGGACGTGTGTGCGGCGGGTATGGTATTTTCCAAGATTCGATCCGTCACATCAGGGCAAAGTTTTTTTTGTTGCCCACAAAACGAGGGGGAGCGGAGGAACGGGGCGTCACGAAGAGGCGGGGGGGTACCGGTGGGAATACCAGAAACATGAGTACCGAAATGTTGTAGATGGTGGAAATGTGTATTGTAAATTGTTGAGATACCGTCCCACAGCGCCTTCTTTTTCGCCCATTGTTTTTCTTTGTCTGCTCCAGACACTACGCCTAGACGAAATACCGGCCGCATTCGTTTTGCTGTTTTCAACTTCCGCGCTTCCGCCCCCCCCGTCGGTCAGGAGTGACACGTCGTCGTGCCTTTCGTTCGCAACTGGTCGAGCTCACCTCAAGCATCTCTCCAACCGCTGTCTCCATCGTGTCGGTGCAAGTGGATATCGGGAGGTTGTTGTAGCGTAGGGTGGAGGGCCTGGTCTGGCTAGCGTAGGGAAGCCAGCCACGAGCAGGCCAGCCCATCCAACCGAGGCTTGAACGACATCTGGATAAT